CTGACACTCAGCACTTCTGGTTCCAACCTTTATCCTAAGCCCCTAAATAAGGTAACAACATGTAAGAGTACTATTATTAAAGGACATTATTTGTTTCCCTAACCTGAAGTATTAGCTTTTTTTTCCTCAAAAGAGACAGTGACGGAAACCAGATACTGATGTACCTTTAAGGTCTCTTGCACATCTCGCATTCTACTTCTACACCTATGCAGCCTTATGTTGCAACGAACCCCGCAAAACTCGCAGATAAAGGGACTCTTCACTTTATATACTTGATCCTGTTCTGGACTGGGACACGGCAATCTTCCGTCTTTGACTACAATCCCATTTAAAGGGCAAACTTTTCCTTTCTCTCCAAAACAAGTAAACACTTGATTTCACAGTTCTTTAGGCAGCTGCTCTGATTTTGTTGTCAAGAGAATGGTTCACTTCTTCCTGTCTCAAAAAGGGAGATGTTCAGCCATGTTCCAAGAAAAACACAACCAGACATAAGGTCTGTCAAGAAAGTCAATTTTTGGCATTTATAGCTTGCTTAGAGATATGCAGTATAGAAGAAAACTGCTGTCTCAGAGATTAAAATCTGAATATGAGATTTTTAATATGACCACAACACAAAATCTTGAGACAGAACTGTTTTCAAGTGCATCCTGCTAATAAGAACATGTTAGTCCTTGTCAGTTTTGTCAGACAAAGGATTTAAAAAGCATTCACATGAAGGAAAACCCGCTGTTCCAACAGTATATGCCAGTGCAGGGTAGCAGAGATAGTGTAATCCCTTCCAAAAAGGGCATCCCTAGTGAACTTTGTCAGTGGAACACAAGACGATACGCTTGGAGTGAAACTAAATAGAAACTCAAGCATAGATACTTTGGAACAAATACTTCGTCTGGACACAGGTACAACATAATAATGGCTAAAATACAGGCAATGTTTCACAGACTTGTTTGCTAAGCAAAGCTGTAGTAATGACAAGAGTGAAGTGATGAATAGTCATCTCTACCCATTTAAAATCGCGTCACAACTCAATGGACAGTCACTTTATTTTATAGTGATAAAAGGGTGTCAACAATCATATTAAGCAAAGAGACCTGATGTGCATCTGTCACACAATGTGTATGGATTCAGGTTAATACCTTTGCTCTCAGATCACGATTAGAAATGAGAAAAATCTCTTTTTCAAAGCAGCAGCTATACTAGTATAGTTTTTCAATAATAAAGTAGTTAAACAGTAATTTCAAATTAAGGTTCTGATGATAATCCTGAAAGGAACATAAATCTACTAAGCAATTTCATCTGTAGGTAAATAAACAACAGGAGAACGTTCTAAAGTTATAAGTTTACGCAACTGGTCATAGCCAACATGGGTTCATAAGAAGAAAGCCCTGTTTAATTAACTTAATTTCCTTTTATAACAAGGTCACCCGTCTCATGGACCAAGTGAAGCCAGCAGGTGTGGATTTTTTTTTTTTTTTCATTTTAGCAAAGCTTTTGATATTGTCTCTCATGGTATCCTTCCGCACAAAATGTCCAGCAGAAAGCTAGACATGTCCCTAATACGTTGGGTGAGCAACTGGCTGACGGGTCAGGCTCAAAGGCTCATAGTAAATGGGGTTACATCAGGCTGGTGGCCAAAGTGGTGTTCTGTAGGGCTCAATTTTAGGGCCAGCACTCTGATGTTTTTATAAACGATCTGGATGCAGGACTCAAATGTACATTAAGTAAGTTTGCCACTGATAATAAATTAGGAGTTGTGGGCTCCCTCAAAGGTAGAGAGAGGCCTTACAAGGAGATCTGGAGCAAGTGCTAGATTTTGCACCCAGGACAAGGTAATCCTGGTTATACATATAAACTGGGGGACGAAAGGCTGGAAAGCAGCCCCGTGGAAAGAGATCTGGGGGTTTCGGTTGATGGCAAGCTGAATTTGAGTCAACAGTGTGCCCTGGCAGCCAAAAAGGCCAGCTGTGTCCTGCGCGGTGCATCAAGCACAGCGTAGCTGTCTGGTCGAGGAGGTGATTGTCCCACTCTACGCTGCACTGGTGTGGCCCCACCTCAAGTACTGTGTGCAGTTTTGGGTGCCTTAATATAAGGAGGACATGAAGCTATTAGAGTGTGTCCAGAGAAGGGCAACCAAGATGGCGAAAGGTCTCAAGGTCAAGACTTATGAGAAGCAGTAAGGTCACTTGGTTTGTTCAGCTTACGGAAGAGAAGGCTGAGGGGTGACCTCATTGCAGTCTACAAATTCCTCAAGGGGGGTAGCATGAGGGGGAGATGATGATCTCTTTTCCCTGGTGACCAGCAATAGGACACGAAGAAATGCCATGATGCTGCATCAGGGGAAGTTCAGACTGGACATTAGGAAAAGGTTCTTCACTGAGAGGGTGGTCTGTCACTGGAACAGGCTCCCCACAGAAGTGGTCAGGGCACCAAGCCTGTCAGAGTTCAAGGAGCATCTGGACGATGCTCTTAGTCATATGGTTTAGCTTTATGTAGTCCTGTGAGGAGTGGGGAGTTGGACTAGATAGTCCTTATGGGTCCCCCCGAAATCAAGATATTCTATGATTTTAATTTCTTTACACACAAAACTACTGCATTGATTTATGCACCAGAGCATTTACGTAACAACGTTTAATTTATCAAAGCTTAATCCAAATTTTGACAAAAAGTCCTTAGGAATTCATTTGGTCTGTGAGAGTTCAGTGGCAGATATTGGAGGCTGAGATTCTTCCATTCCGGGTGCCCAGTTATGAAGAAGTCGCCTTACGGCAGCTGTTTCCGGAATGGCAGCACACACTCACAACCACCTCTGCAGAATGCTCTGCAAGGATGCCTTCCTCCACCTGCAGCCGACCTGAAGAGTCACAGGCACAGTTTCCTGCTCTGTGGGGCTCCACAGACTGGTGAGGTGGGCTTCAGGGCACAAGGAGCTGAAATGGCTCTAAGATCTCACCCCAGCTAAAAGTGTTGTAAGTAACAGAATTTCTCCTAGTCCCTTCTCCTTCACCAACAAGATCAATACTTACAAACAAGAAAGACTTGGCAAAATCTTATTTGGGGGCTGATGCCCCCAGCTGGCAGTGGTCAATTTGCCACACCACAGAGGGTTTTGTTTTCTAACAGACCAATCATTTTAGCACATATCAAGTCCTTTTAACACATTAGGTGTCTAAATACAAGTAAATATAAGTTTGAGATTTCAGTTGTCTAAAAAACAAATCTCTGGACACAGAGTTGGAAAGTATTTGGCCACTGCTACAAGTCTCACTAAAACTACAATGCAAGTAGCAGAGGAGGGAACATGCAAGAACAGAGAGCAAATAATTGTTCTTACTTCCAGTACTGCTCCCTTTCTGGATGCTGTGCATCATCTGATTCCAGACCGTGAGCAAATGAGTCACAAGAAATTGGTTTATTTCTGAAGTCATGATTACCCCCAATAATGCTTATGCTAGTTCTATAGCAACTAATGTATCTGAAATTAAAAAAAAAAAAAAATAAGATAATAATAAGATAAATGGGAAGCATAAAATGTCTTGCAATAGCATGAGCGTGTATAGCAATAATTGTTAATGGTCTGCTTTGGAAGGAGTTGCAAGTTGCCTTCTTCAGTAATGGCTTTTCCACTGAGAAGTAACATGTCGGCATTACTAACGTTTTACATTTCACCAGTAAAAAAATCATTACCGATGGATTACCTTGTTTTCTAAGCAAAATCCACCTGTATCATATCTGAAATAAGTATCTTCTCTGACCACATTCTGAATGGTGTTTCTGTTGAAATCATTAAGAATTTGGGTTGCTAAAGAACTTTTTCGGTAGTGTTAAGATCTTTACCCTTTAGCTTGATGTTTTGCTGTCAGTCAGCAAATCTCTTGAGTGACAAGGAGTTAGCAGTCAGCTAATATCACTTCACACCAACCAAGGGATTGCATACAACCAGTTACACATTGGAAAGTTACTGTATGTTTGAAAAAGGTGACAACGTCAGGAAATGCAAGAAACTAAGTATTTTTAAATTCCTGTAGCTTCTTAACTTACCACAACAAAATTATTCTAAGTTGATTCACTTATTTCATTAAATATCTAGGACAGCCAGAATGCATTTCAGCACTTACGCTGTTCTTTAAAATATCCCACACTTCCCATTAAGAAGCCCTAGTGAGCTATTCACAGAGTCCAAGATGTCCAATCAGGATTAAGGTAGTGAGATAAGCATGTGGGAGACAACCTTATTATTTGCAAATACAGATATCAGGATTTACAGTGTATATTAAATCTTATTTTCTAAAAAACAGAGACAAAGAAAATACCAGAATACAGTTATCTTTTGTCAGTTACTAGTTTTGACTGACAGATGTTTTTAAAGTGAGATAATGCAATACAATCTGTTTAGAAATGAGGGCGGAAACAAGACTTATATTAGTCCAGTCATAACCATCATCCTCACTTTGTTACTGTGCTTATTGACAGAGCAGATACAAACCCATCAGTAGAAATTTTGTCGGAATATTTTCCCAGAAGATACAAATATCATAGGTTAAGACATCTAGGACAAGTGAGTATTTTATTACTTGAGGCACACAAAATGGCATCTTCATTCCACTCAGACTCTGCCCTGTGCCACTGCTCCTGCCTTTAATTAACGATTTATTTTACAAGCAGAGACATACACCTTCCTCTTTGCAGTTCTGCCTGAGAAATAACCCTAACACTTTACTAGGTTCCCTATTATGGTTGTATACGAACTATTAAAGCTTTATCTGCAGGCATTTTCCACTTCAGAGTTACTCAAAACAGCCTTTGAATTAGATATTATTTGCTCAACAGAGAAGATAAGACCCCGATACAAAGAAAGACAGATGATGTCATGCAGTTGAAACAGAATACCAGACTAATTGCTACTGCAATAAGATTGACTTAGCAAAGACTAGTTAAATAACGGCAAGCTCAATATAAAATAGTGATAATTATTTAGAGCCCTTGAAAAGATTTGTAACGCTTACCTCAATGGCCCTTGTTTCAAAATCTTCATAAGTTTCTGTTGGGAGAAAAATAGGATATTACATTTCCTTGTACTACTTGCCTATCAGCACAGCTCCCTGTAGGTGGTGTAATACAAAAAGGACACAGTGTTTATGTAACTGTAATTTATAAATTCACCTCAGCAGTAAGTAGAAAAGGCAAGAATAAATTGAACAAACCTATCTAAAGTGAGCTTTATTAGTTACTTCCTTTTGAAAAGGCCTCAGATTTTTTTTCTTACTTGACTCCATTCATTCAATCTCTTTTAGAATAAGGTCAGTAAAAAAACAGCATATATCTCTTATTTATAAAGCATAGGGTTTTTTAATTTCTTAAGTAAAATAAACTCATGTGAAGAGAACTATCTTTAAAAAACCTCCAGCTAAAACGATAACTTCCCAGAAAGTGTAAAACCACTTGTGATTACAATACAGCTCCTGTTGTAATTAAAAGATGACAACTGTTAAATACATCCATTGTGCTCTATTAGGGACCCCAACCTCCAACTGCCATCAACTTTTCATCTTTTCAAGTACCACACATGCAGAGAAGTAAGACGGAAACAGTCTCTGATGACTGTCCAACCTAAATAACCAGAGTAGCACAAAGGAAGAAAAAGAATTATTTTTTTTTTAAATGGTAAAGCAAGATATACAAATTTAGCCACTTTGTTTGAACATCACACAGTA